TCAACAATGCTTCTTCACTTCAGCAGCAGTAGCTCAGCCCAGGACAGTTTTTCTAAAACATAGAGAACCAGCTCAATTAGGTCTCCCTCAGGGACCACAGCACCAGTAGCACATGGCCCGGTTCCTCTTAAGTTTCTCAACTGTAATAATCCTAACTTCATTTTTGTTCCCCCAGTCGTAGAGGTGCTAGCTGTTTCCTGCAGTTGCTACCCCTGTGACACCATAATATTCTTTTTACCCTTTCGATTCCTTAATCAACAACTTTACATGTGTTAATCTTTATGTTAAATTCTCTGTTCAGGTAATTGGCATGATTTCTGTCTCTGACTGGACTTCATTCAGTAGCATTGTCAAGAAGAGACAGATAGCTAAAGGCAGGGCCCTGATGAAATACTCCATGCTTCTCTACACCTGAGCTGCCTACTATAGCAGAAGGCACCTTTGCTAAGCCTCCAAAGGAGCATAAGGGCAGATCTCATCTGACTAGAAGGTGCCTGAGCAGCCACATTTTTCCAGGGCCCCCTTTCAAAGCAGAGGACCTCTCTCAAGCAAGAAGCATACCCAGGCCTAACTTGTCACCACCCACTCCTAAAATCATGAGACCAGGGGAAGAACCATAGAAAGTGATGTGTAAGGCCCTGGCCAGGTGGCTCAGTTGGCTGGAGCATCATCCTGTACATCAAAAGGTTGTGGGTTAGATTCCTGGTCAGGGCACATATGTAGGTTGCAGAAGCTCTCTCATATCGACGTCTCTCTGTCTCTGTCTCTCTCTCTCTCTCTCTCTCAAATCAATAAAAACATATCCTTGGGTGAGGATTTAAAAAGAAAAAGTGATGAGTATAAGTGAGGAATATATTTCGAGAGGAAAATCCAAAGACCTGGAATCTCAAGAGACTAAATCCAAGGAGAAGATGTAAAGTTGCAACCCAATATTTTAATTCCTTTGATCCTCTCTCCAGAAGCTTGACTCTTAGCAACATGCCCAGCAAAACCCTTGTACTGAACTTATCAAGTTGAGGATGGGGTACCATCATCTTAAAGAACATTAAGTAGAGTCTATTCCAGAGTAAAAGTTGTTGAGATGAAACAAATGGGAAGACCAGAGCTAGGGAAGTTGATCTTTAGGAAGAAGTCTTGTATGATTTTTAACAGGACTTCTGTGAAGTTGAATAATTCACATTCTCCACATCACAAATCTTGTGTCTAACAAATTGGGGCCCACGGTCTAAACTCATGATGCCCTCATTCCTAAATAGCATAGAAAGAACATACAAATCCTTATTTTTTTTTAAAACAGAAACTTTCCTTTTTCTAGATTCTGAGTCCATAAACTTGATTAGCTGTTTTATTAAAACACATTTTTGAATAGCACAACCCAATATTTTCCTTCTCAAAATATTTTTAAAAACCTACTAACATTTTATTTTTACTGCCTTTCGGAGCATATAGGGAATCATTTAATGGTGAGAGCTATCATGTTTTGAGCTATGAGCCAGGCATATTAGTTCAGAAAACATAAAGTAACAGTGTGTTAACAAGTAAGAAATTTATTTCTCCCCCATGTAATCAGTCCAGGGCTAGTAAGGCAGTTCCTTATCCAGTAGGTACCCAAAGCTCCACCTATTTTGTTGCTCTGCTGGCTTCTGTGTGATCACATGTGGCTTGGACATTATGATCCAAGATATTGTTCAAGTTCCAGCCATCTCATCTGAATTCTAGCAAGCAAAGAAAGACTTGCTCTCTACTGTTAAAGAAACTCATAAGTTAAACACATCACTTCTGCTTATATCCCATTGACCAGACTTAGTCACAAAGTCATAGCAAGCAGCAAGGGAGAGAAGGAATGTAGTCTTTATTCTGGACTTTGAAAGAGTTAACATCTGCTCAGAAGTCATGTAATATGGTATAAAATTCAGTACACGCAGAAAGAATCTCTAAGGAGAAATTTTATTTAAAATTTTGCTTTCAAATTTTGAAACAAATCCACTATAGAACAAAGTGGGATTCAGGAACAGCTTGGTTTTTAACTAAGTGCTGTAACATTAAAGAAAATATGAGGGGCCATTATCTAGGTCAAGTTTGATAACATCAATTTTTAAGAAATAAGATAGAAAGCTTTATATTATTTAGAATCATGTTTAAAAGTATATAAGTGATAACTGTAGTTAATGACTATATTAACATAAAGTCGAATACTACAACTCAACTTTCAATAATTATGAAGTAATCAAAATTATGCTGTTAGCTAAAAATGTTTTTAATTCTTTATACTGCATCTCTTTCCATAAGCAATAATAACAGATCATTAAAACATAATCTACAAAATACATTTTACTTGAAATTTAAATATCCCCAAATCCAAAGTTAAATAAATATGTGTAACTGTGAGACCCTACATCATTTCCTTAGTGAAAAGGCTACTGGTAGAATGAGGAACAACAACAACAAAAAGACAATGAGATGGAAAAAATGCTGGCCTGGATGTCTAGAGACAAAATTTTACCACTTAGAGTAAATTACTTAACCTGTCTGACCCTCAGTTTCTAAATCTTTATGAAATGAGAAAAGTGAGCTGCATGGCTATCTGAGGCCTCTCTCTACAAGCCCAATACTCTACACCGACTAAAGGGCAGAACTTATATATGGCATTTTCTAAGGAAACTTGTCCAGGAAAATAATTCTAATGAAGCAAGGTAATTTAATACAAGGAAATTTGATTCAACTTAGAATAAAAATTGTCAATATGAATATACTGCAATCTCCAAAATTGTCTGTTCATGTGTTTGGCTTTACGTGTGTGTATGACGCTAGCATTTCCCAAGTTTTCATGGTATTCAGAACAGCAGTATGTCTAGGTCCACAGTGATGGACTGTGACTGGCCAAGTTCATCACTGCAATCCTGTTTCCTCAGCCTTATTTACAGGTATGCATACTGACAGCAGTGTATATGACCATGAACCCCTCTTCTTTCCAGAAGTATCTCCAGGGATTACTTTTCAGGAGATTACGCTTTAGTACGATTGACCTAGGCTAACCTGATTACAAGTATCAGATAGATGAATGCATTTCCTGACCAATCAAGCCAGAATGTACTCATTCATCTTTTAGGCATTTCTCCCAGAAAACTTTTACTGTGGTTTCTCTCAATAAATAATAACTTAGGCATTCATTTGTGTAACATGACTGTACCTTGGCACTGTATTTATGAAGGATTTTAAATGAAGGAAAAAATCTATTGGCCAAGGAGGAACAACATCTATTAAAACCTTTGTCTAGCCTAAGCCTAAAGAATTGGGGGTTTCATATTTTTGGGTATATGAAATAAAACGTTTACTTGTTAATCAACTGTTTAGACATAACTATGTTGTCAAGTTGTTTTTTTTAAAAAAAGCTGAAATGCAGCAATTCTTAGTTCTATGTGCCCAAGTCACTTGTGCTTTAAAAAGAAAAGTACAAGTCCCTTCCATCCATTCCACACCCTTTCTGACATAATAGGTCTGAAGGTGATTCAGACATCTGTAATTTTTAAAGCCCTATCTATAGATGACTGTGACAGGCAGCCAAGGTTGAAATACTGTGCTTTATAAATCACAGAAGCTGTGACCCTTCAAGATGCTTAGGTGAATAAGGCTGAATGGCGTGGTGGAAATAACAATGTATGTGGAAATAACAATGTAACAGGTACAGAACTCAGCAACTAGGTACTCTGGACAGATCATTTAAACCTCTGAGACTTAGCATGTTCTTCAGAAAGAGGATAACGTGCTGCACATATAAACATCACACTTATAAAAAACACATGTAAAACTATAAGGAGTTTCAAAACTTTTAACATAGTATTTAATGCTTTTTTTTCTCTTTGTGGAGTATCTTTTCCCTTCCTTGCATGCAGGAAAAATCTAGTGTTCCTTCAACTGACTACCAAGTTTAAATCTCTGAGGCCTTGTGTGCTCCAAATACACAGGAGTGCTATCTCTGTGATTCTGCAGCACTGACTTGTTAACTGACAAGCCCCTCACCCCCACTGGTGCACTGTAAGCTCCTACAGACTCAGGGGAACCTTGTGTTTTCCAGTGTTCCCGGTACCTAGCAATGCTGGGTGAGGTGAACCACAATGGCTATCACCTTATCGTTGCAGGCAGAAATTGCCCTTATGGATCCCAGTTACCTATTTCTTCTTTTTCAAAAGCTGAATCTTCTTTCTTCCGTGTACTTTAGTTGTGGAACTCACACATGAAAAACCGAGGAGGAGAGGGCTGCTGAGACCTGCCCTAGTAATCACTACACTAGTGGTGATTTATTAGTACGTGTATGTGCAGGCACCTGACAACCCCCCGGAGAGACAACTGTAATTCTCTCAACCGTCTTACAAAATATATACTATTTTTTTTCCTGTTGTACAGCTGTAGGTTCAGAGGACTTGAGCAATTTGCTCAAGCAGGTCACAGGACATTGGAGCCAAGATCTCAAATACAGATCTCACTCCAGAGCCCGAAATCTCAACCACTATACGCACCTTCTTCATCTTGAGATATTCTGATGGTCCTCTTCCGTGGTGTGCACCAGGGACACGCAGGCCCCAGTCCATCGGTCCTCCCATTTGCTACGGAACATAGTAAAGCTGTAGTTGTGATCAGACTAGAGGGTGGAAGCATCGTCCCAAGAACCGTTTCCTCTCGGCGATTCGGGCACCAACAATATCCCAAAAGGAACTTTGAACCGCCCGCGAGCATTCCGCAGCCGGGCCCAGCCCACCGCCGGAGCTCCCCGGCCCGGCCGGAGGACGCCGGGAGACCTCTGGGAGCGGGCAGCGCTGGCCCGCTTTTCTTCCGGAGCACGAAGCCACACCGAGCTCCTCACCTTTCCTGAAAGGACTCAGGCCTCCAACCTTCAGTCCAACCTCCTCCCGCGGGTCCCCTTCCCGGCACTTCCAACCACAGCGCTTTACTTCCGCGTCCCGCCCGCCGGAAGTGACGGACCGGAAGCGCCTTTCTCCTGCGGGGGGCGGGGAAGGAAGATGGCGGCGCCCAGCAGCCGGTGAGGAGAGAGACACGGGGATCCCGAGGAGCGGCCAGACTCGTGCGTGATGGCCACCTCCCCACACACTGTCTCCTCACGCCTTCTGACAGGTACTGCACGGCCCTCGGCACAGCTTTGGGGGAAATGATCTTGTTTTTGCACGCACTACACCGTGGTTCCGGCTGGCTGCAACCTTGGGAGTCCTTGGCGAGGTCGGCTGGGTGGCGGTGGGGGCGGTGACCTTTGGAGGAGCCTGAAGTGAAGGGGCCGCGGAACTAGGGTCCAGTCTTGCACCGCGGTTCCGGTGGTACACGCGGGCTGTCCCGCCTCCCTGGAGAGATGCAGTCTCGTGTTTTTGGTTTTCCCAGCCTGGAGGCTGGAGAGAGGGCGGTGGAGGCTCAGGGCTGCGCGAGCCCTCTGGCTCGTCAGAGCCTCGGTTCCTGGTCCCGGCGCGGGAGGACGGGGCAGCGCTGCGCCTCCACTCAGCAGCCTTCCTGCGTGCAGGACCGTGATGATAACGACGATAATGACAGTGACGATGACAACTGCGGACAGCGGGCTGGAGCTTCAGACTTCTAGCTTTGTACCATTCAGCGTGGGCCCTGTTGTAATCCTCCCACTTGAAGAACCTGTAACAATTTTAAGTGGAAGGCGCTTCCGTGGCCCTTGGCGAGGTCTTAGCTCAAATGTCACCTTTTCAGAGACACCTACGCTGCCTACTCCATAGAGCTCCTGTCCCTCTCCTCACATCACCCTATTTCTCTCCTGATGGTTAGCACAATCTGTAATTGTTTATTTATGCACCGGTTTGCCACGTGTTTCTCCCAACTAGAATATAAACGTTGTGAAGGTACGGTCAGTTCTCTGGTTCACCTCTTTGACCCCAGTGCCCAGAACGGTACATGGTGTACACTGTTGGCTCTCAGTAATTATTTGTGAGTGAATGAAAGTTGTCCTGATGGAGGTATTAGAGAGGAGATTGAGAATTATTTTGCCCCCAGTAGTTGAGGATGATAACCAATGGTTATGTGAGTATTGTGTTGCCGCTGGTTCATATTGGTGATGAGTGATAGGTGAATCCAGGGACTCCTTTTTGGTCAAATCCCAGGAACTTTTTTCAGGCCCCGTGTATCACAAACTTTGTGCAGCACTTGGCAATATTGGTCACCGGGAGTCTATGAAATGCCTTTTTTCTTTTTTCCCCATGGAATTGTTATTTTACGGGTCTTTTCTGGTCTGTGTGATCTCAGAGCAAGTCGTCTGACTTTTCTGGAATTGACTTTACTCATCTATAAAATGAAGCAATTTAGTTAGATGATTTCCGGAGTAAAGTGGGGAAGAAAGTGAGAATATAGTTGAAACAAGATTGGCCTTGGTTTGGTAATTGTTGAAGCTGAGGAAACAGTAAAGGGGCTCATTGTATTCTGCTTTTGTATGTGATTGAAGTTTTCCATAATGAAAAGTGTTATTTGTTTTTTTTTAAGGTCTGTGATTCTTTTTGAATTACCTGTTACCTTCTGCCATCCCTGACTATGATTGTTCTTTGACCCTGACTCTAGACACTCATTCTCAGAGAGCTCAGCCTCTCTTACTGTTTGAATTATCACCTCTGTGTAGAGGGTTTCCAGTTCCTGTTCCCCAGACTAGCTGGTTTTTTGCCTTTCAGTTCTGTACTTTCAGCTTTCTATAGGACAGTGCTACTTGGCTGCTCAGAATTCCCCAGTTCCAGTAAGTAGTCTACAGATACAAATGGTCCACATGGTTTGTAGCTGGATCAGTCTTTTCAGTGCTGGTAAGGAGGAATTAATAGACTGCTTAGCTTCTTGAAGCTATAAACGTCGTCAGAAAACCTGTATGACTTACTCTGATCCACTTGGAAGATCCACCACCAGAGAGCTTGATGTAAAGATGGTGAGGTGTGGCAGAGAGGTATCTGGGACTGTGTTAGGTATCTAGTGGTCATGCCTGCTTTTGCTTTTAAACATTCAATTATTTATAGCCATTAAAAGATAATTTAGGACCTTCAGTTACTGGTCTGCTCACCTCATTTTAAAAACCCTACAGTCATGACTCATTGTTGATGGTGAATAGTGGTTATGGTCACATGTTTCCAGATTTTTAATGTATCTACTGTAAACCCTGTGTGTCTTTTTAACCTACATTCATTTACATAGGGCTGAAATATCTTTGAATTTCTAGGCACCGAGTCATACAAATGTAACACACTTTGACTAAATGAAGTATTTTCATCATTTAAAAGTGCAGTTTCCTGGCCGTTTTTTTTTTTTTTTTCCCTTACTGCCATTCTGTAAAATCTCAGTTTCACACACTTAGTCATGAGAGATATTTTTCCAGGTGGTTCTTTCCCTCCCAGCAACTTGTATTTCTTATTGGACCTGAAGAACTAAAAGCTGATTTTGAAATTAAGGCCAAGAACAATGAAACCTTGATGTCTTCTAGACATAATTATTTAATATTGAAATCCTATCACCTTAAATTAAAGAACAATGTTAAGGCGGAAAGGGGGGAAAATACGCCATCAAAATTATAACTAGAACTGAAATATCAGAGTACTGATTTCAAGAAATTTTAAAAAACGCTGCTATTTCTTTATGTATACATATATAGGTAAACACATATTCACATGTATGGAAAATAAGCACTTCATACTTAACTGAGATTCAAGCATCTGATTTCAGTGAAGAAGTGACTTATCTCCAGTCTAAGAGAATTGCCTTGTATTCCAAAGGCAGTGATAGTTCTTCCCACTGTCCATGTCAGCTATGGGGGGGGATGCAGTCATCAGATATTATTTCATTATTATGTGGAAAGCACTCTGCTGTCTGTTGTAGGAAAAGTGAGTAAGTGCCTGTCACCAAGGAACTGAAATATATGGTGAAAACAAACAGAAACAATTAGTATTAAGAAGTGCTATAAAAAGAATATAAAGCAATAGAATAGTTGAAAGAGACTTTGGAATTTGACAGGCGAGGCAAGAAGCTGTAAGCAGGCACACTGGCAAATTGTGTAGTGTGATTACAAATGTGAGCAAATTGTGTAGTGTGATTACGAGACAGCATTGCTCCAGTGAGTTGTATATATATGTTTGGGTGGGTAGTTATGTATTTTGGGCTTCAGGAAGAAAACCATTGGCTTTCTGGAACTTAAATTGGACAGGGAAGGAAATCACTGAAGTTGAAATGACTGGCTTGAATCCTACAGTTAACTATTACAATAAGAAAATAAGGGTCTGGATAGTAGGAATAGAAAGAAGTAGATTTGACCTATCTATAGTTGACTGCGTCTGATGGTTATTAAATGATAAAGGAAGAATTCAAGCTGTTCCTGAGGTAATGGTTTTATCTGCAATAGGGACAGAGTAGAGATATGGGTGAGAATAAAGTGTTCATAAAGACATACTTACTGTAAGCCATCCATGTGGAGATACTAAGAGAGCAGTTGGAAATAGGCAGAATGACTAGCAAAATGTTGAAGATTAAAAATTAACCTGTAATTGCATTTGCTCAGGGGTTGAAGTGGCAGATATGGTGAGAGGAGATATAATAGGAAACTCAGAAGTCATGAGTGGAAGGCAGCAGAAAACTAGGAGCCTTTGGTATCATGGAAGCCATGGGAGGAGAGATTCTTAGAACAGGAGAATCTGGGCCATTGTACTGTTGAAGGCTTGGCTAGGGTGAAACCTTATACAGAAGTATTGAATTTGTTGATATTTGAGAGAGGTGTAGAAAAATTATTAAAAGCCAGATTCCTATACTACAAAAATCATTTCTTCCTTACGAGATTGATAAAGTCATACTATGTTCAGAACTATGCCCTAACCCCTTTACTTGGCTTACCCGACATGGCCAAAATATTCATCAGAAGTATATTTTGCAATTATTTGTTAAGAAAAGTTATACACTTCTCATTGTATACTTTTTAAAAAGTGATTGAACTCATTGTTTTATATTTTTTTTCTTAAGAATATATATATAGTGTGGTCTTTTTGGCATTTAATATAACAAAAGCATAATGATTCTGAAATGGAAGATTTCCCTAGCCCTGTTGAAGAATTTTGCTGACTTAATCAGTGAGTAAGGCTGATAAATTGTGTTTATTTACAAACCTGGATTAGATCATTTCAAATTTATGACCCATCACATATGCATTGCTTACCATGGTGCAGGCATTGCTTCTGGATAGGTGCAGCCATCATTGGGGAGAAGCAGTAATCATTTTAACATTTCCCCTCTCTGTCTCTATTACAGGTTGGGTAGGAGGATGTGTCTGGTATCTAGAAAGAAGAGCTATGCAGGAGTCCCCTCACAAATTTATGCATCTTTTTCGGAATGTCAATAAGCAGTGGATTACATTTCAGCACTTTACCTTCCTCAAACGCATGGTATGTTCAGAAGACCTTCCTTACTCTGCTGCTGTCTGCCTTTCCTTTCTATGTTTGTGGAAATTGCAGAAATTCATATTACAAGAGGAGTAGCAAGAAGTACTGTTTAAAAAGGATTTGTTATTTAGTGTCCTCCCTTGGTTTGTTTATTCTTAACTGAAACCAGAATAATTATGGTGTTTGAGCTTAAAAGTCTGATCACAAACTTACTGGTTAAGTTCGAAGAAAGATTGAAAATTTCTGGCATATTTTGACTAGGCTAAATGTAGAGAAAGCTAAACTGTTATTATACATCTTTTTAAATTCTTTAAAATTCTGTGAATACATCAGTAATACAGAAATAATTGCTTTGACAGTGTGACCTGTTTTTTTTGCATTGTGCATTCAAAAAGTCTTTTATTTTTATTATTATTTATTTTTTATCCTTACCTGAGGACATTTTTCTATTTTTTGTTCAGATAGAGTGGGAGGGAGAGCGAGGAAGAGAGCAAAAGAGAGAAACATCAATGTGAAAGGGACATACCGAGTGGTTGCCACCCGCACGACCCAACCAGGGCCGGGGAAAAACTGCAATCGAGGTACGTGCCCTTAGTGGGAACTGAACCTGGGTCTCTCTGGACCTCAGGCCGACGCTCTAACCACTGAGCAATACCGGCCAGGGCTCAAAAAGTCTTTTAAACACATGCACATCTGACTCAAACAAATCTGAGTTTTTAGTAATTTGCTAGGCGTTTTGTAGTGAGCATTGATAACATACCTCAGTCCTCTTATAGACCTGTATCTAGGTCGGCTCCATGATATTGTGGGCAACATGGTAACTTACGCTAAATTGCCAGTAGGGCATTTGACATGTTCTCAAATAGAAAAATATCATAGACTGGAGAAATGGTAGCTGAAAAACTCTTAATAGTGCAAGCATGAAATAATAGCAAATTCATAATCTAAAGTCCTGCTTGACATTTCTCTCATCTTTTTTTTAAAACTAAAATGCCCACTTTAACTTAAAACATAAAGTCTTATAAAACTTACTGTTCTGGTAAGAGATTTAAATTTCCAGTAATGTTCAGACTTTTTAGGTTGGGGATTTGGGGATAATGGATAGTTAGAAGAGAAATTCAAATGTTTATTATACCTTTTATTATGTAAACAGGACTCTGGATTCACTCATGAGGTTGTAATTCCTAAGACTGATATATGTAATGGGAAAGTCTCTTAACTGGCTCTCAGAACAGTGGCTCCAAGTTCCAGGGTCACCTGTAACTAACTGGTTGTTGACTCTTGCCCTGGCAGCTTATTTCTCAGCCTTGGTTTTCTCATCTGTAAATTGAAGAGAGAGATACTAATAATGATCCATCTTCTTTAACAGCTGTTACAGAGCTTAAATGAGAGATATATAAACTACAACAATATACATTATATGAGACTGTGAAGTGCCTCATGAATGCTAGTAGTAATTACTTTTTGCAAGTGACTGACAGAGACTGTTTAATCTTCAAACCCGTGTTCTTTCTTCTTACATGCTGCTGTGATGTCACTTAGACCTGGAATATGCTCTATTCTTGAGCACCTCTCTGTACTGTTGGCCTAGGAACATGGATAGTTACAGGATGTTTGGGCTTTTGATTATGGAAAACTTTCTTATATTTGAGTATTAAACCACCAGTTTCTGGTACTACATTATGGGGAATTCCAGAGAAAGTGAATAAGAAATAAAAATATCTTTTTTTGCAAGGAACTTAAATTCCTAGAATTTTTCTAAACCACAGAATTTGAAAACAATTGCTGAGGAATTAATTGTGTTCTCTTTATCTCTTAGTCTATTGATTTCCATGTAACAAGCACTCTAATATTAGTTCATGTACCATGTATTATAAAATTATAGGAAAATCTTTTAAGTTCCGTAAAAGTCGGACTGATGGAAGGTATAACTAAACAACCATTCAAGAACATTTTGGGCTTTGTATAACAACATGTACTTTTTAAATTTAGTACGTCACACAGATGAACAGAAACCTCCGCCAGCAAGTAAAGCCGAAGTCAGAACCAGTGGCCTCTCCTTTCCTTGAAAAAACATCCTCGAGTCAAGCCAAAGCAGAAATATATGAGATGAAACCCTTTTCGCCCTCTAGCCTATCTTTGTCTAGGAAGCCAAATGAAAAAGAATTGATAGAACTGGAATCTGCCTCAGTAATTGAAGGCTCAGTACATGTGGGAAAAGAGACACAAGATGAAAAACAGTGGAAAGAGATGAAGCTGCATGTGGACCATTTGCCAGGAGTTTTGGCTCGACTGTCCAAAATCAAACTCACAGGTACTTTGCTTTTCTGGTATGGTTAGAGTCTTAACTGGGAACTTGATTTTTAGTTAAACAAAATACTGATTTTATTTACTGCCCCAAAAGGAATATTTTGAAACTGCAGATCCTCCCTTAATATTTTTTCTCTCTCTAATTGAGATCTGAAATCAAATTTTCTGAATTCTGTTTACTCAGAATTGTAAATAGTATTGTACTAAACATGTACTGAAATATATTTTTCTTTATTTGCAATTAAAGTAGAATACTTATCCTGCTTATTTCTCGTTCGTCTTTTGTGTTTCCACACCTACTGTCCTTAAGGACGCAGTAAGGGAGTGAGTTCTGTCTGAGTTCCGAACCAGGATGGACTGCACTGCTGTGCTCGGTGCGCAGTGGAGCCACAGTGGCCGCTGGCACGCCCCGCTCACTGCTGGTGTGCTCCTTGTGGGAACTCTGGTATTGTCCCAGGTATGGAGGGGTTTTGAGTGCATCTCTGAATGGATGTTTAGAACCAGATTTTTTTGCCTAATTGTAGCAAACTCCACCAAATTTGATTGCATGCATGGAGGTATTAACCCATAATTATGTCATTTGGTCGTTACAACCACCCTGTGAGTCAGGCAGAGCTTTGTTATTATCATCTCATCTCATAGCTAAACTTAGAAGTAGCTTATTCTGGGCTAACTGTTTAGAATATATGTTCTGGGTCATCCTGCAGCCTGAAGACCTGGTCTCTTCTTTTCTTCTTGAATGAGAAGAAGAAGAAGAAATGAGTAAATGATGAAGTTATACCAGATCCTCTTTGAGGACAGAAGGTAGTAAATAATATTATTGAGTCAGCAAGTGAACAGATGAAACGAGAGGCTTTTGGGAGTAGAGAATAGATCAAAGAATGAGTGGTTTTTATTTATTTGTTTGATTGCTTTTCAAGAGAGTTGAGCCTGAAATCCGGGATAAAAGGAGGTAAACCAGACATGACTTCTTTCCTCAGTGTCCAAGTTTACTGAAAGAAAATCTTTTTTTGGATGGTGACACTTGTCCATAGGGAGTTTGACAGAGAATCATAGTAAAACCTACACAGTGCAGCTGTGATGAAGACTGAGTTCAGGTGATGTCTTTGAAATTATGTCTTAGGGCTTTCTGGTAGCCGAGCAAGGAGTCATCTCATTTCTAAAGTGTTATTTTTGTCATTTGCACAACTAATTTGAGTATCTGTTGACTTATTAAGAAGGATTGTCGATAAATGATTTTAGGATGTCATCCAAAAAAAATGAGGCCTGTCAGTCTGGGCGTCAGGAGTTCTCTGTGTGCTCCATTCTGCAGATTCGGTCTCCGCTCTTACTGTCCCGTTTCGGTCAGCAGTGCTAATACTCTGCGCTTCTCCTAGAGGAGAAGTTGTAGAATCATTCTTGGCTTTCCGTTCTCCCCTTCGGTCTGCATCCAACTGAACCAGTGAAACCTTATGTAACGCCTGTGTGATTTCTCATGCCCATTTCTGAAGCTACCTTCTCAGTCCAGGTCCAAACATTGCACTAGCTCCTAACTGTTCTCTCTGCCTTCATTCTCCTTCTACTGCAATATGCTGCCCAGGGCTGCCAGAGTCATTTTCCTAAAGCATTGCTTTCTTATGTTCCTAACTTCCTCAAGAGACTATAGTTCCTCGGTATTGCCCCCTGCCTCAACTCTGCCTGATTTTAAAGGAACATTGTGATTAAAAATGGTTAGACTCTTCTGCAGTAATATATATTTTTTCTCCTTCCCTGTACCCTTTCTACCCCACCATACGCATTCCTCTACGGGAGACCAGCCAGATCCTTTCAGAACTTCTCCACTAAGCCTTATTTTGCCTGCTCTTGGCCCAAGTCCCCCTTCTCAACACTCAGAAAAGGTTCTGGTCAAGCAGACTTGAGTTCAGATCCCACTATGACATTTACCAGCCAGTGAGACTTTGGGCAGTTCCTTGACCTTGCTGAGACAAACCCCTAGACTGTAAAGTAGAAATACTAATAAATTGTTTAAGAATTCAATCGTCACCCAGCTGGTGTGGCTCAGTGGTTGAACATTGACCCATGCACCAAGAGGTCACTGGTTTGATTTACGGTCAGAGCACATGCCCAGGTTGTGGACCAAACCCCCAGTGAGGGGCATGCAGGAGGCGGCCAATCAATGTTCTCTCTCATCCATGTTTCTGCCTCTCTCCTCTCCCATCCTTTCTCTCTCAAAATAAATAAAGAAAAAAAAATTTATTTAAAGAATTCAATTGTAGAATGCATTTAAAGTACTCAGCAGCTTGACTGGCACATGGGAGACCTTCAGAGGTTTATTTTTAAATAATTCCAGGTACACACTTGATTATTTAATGTATATTTTCCTAAGGATTTGAGGGCAGAAATCATGCCACATAAACTTGTTTTGCGCTTCTGGCTCTCTGGGCACAGTGCTCATCACTTGGTAGAGACTTGCTGTTGAGAGGGAATTGACACAGTGAAGTCCTCCAGAGGAAGGGGGGTGTGGAAACCCTGTCATGGGGGATGGGATTGTTTTGTTTAGAAAAGAGAAGGAAGAAGGGGGAAAGATAATGAGAGAAAGGAGAAAGAAGACATAATAGCCATCTTCAAACACCTGCAGCTTCATCAATTTAAAGGAACAGTGCTGCTAACTTACAGTCCAGAAGGCAAAATTAGGCGACTACATGCCAGCAGGGTGGCAGATTCTCTCAGTATGAAGGAGAGTTCTTAGGAGAACTATTTAGGTGTGAAATGTGCTGCCCTGTAAGGCAATATTCCTTGTCATTGGAACCATCCAAGTGGAAACAGATCATCTTGGAGGGAAGTTGAAGAAGGGATTCCTGCATTGTGTAGATGATGACAACCAAGTCCCTTTTTAATACTAAGAGTCCGCCTGCCTTCAGCATTGGGTGTTTACCACATACCCCTTGATGCCAGTTGTCAGATACAGAGAGAACTCACGCGATTTCTGTCCTCAGGACATTCACAGTCTATTAGGGAGATTTTTTACACATACACGTATATAAAAATAAAACAACTGTGGTCTGATACATCTGTTTCAAACCCAGAACTCTTTCTTAATACCTATGTTATCTTTACCTATAAAATAGAGATAGTGGCACTTACTTCATAGCCTCATTGTGAGGATTAAATGAGATAATAAATGCAGATCAAACATCTATGTGCCCAGCACTAGTAGGCATTTAATTAGCTATTATCAATACTATTATTATTGCTATATCCATTCTTAGGGAAATTACTGGCAGAGGTATTATAAATGATGTGTGCATAAGGCAGAGTGGGGACCCAGAGAAGGGAGGGGTTGAAGTGAATGAGGATTCACTAGGCAGAAAGGCAGGGATTGTAAGCAGAGGCATCCTGGCATGTTGAGAAAACTGAAGGGTGCTTGAATGGTGCAGTACGGCTAGAGTGCTGTGTAGGCGAGGCACTTCCTGAGGCCGAAGAGAAGCAGGGCCGTTCTTTCAACGTGGCATGTGTTTTATGCTCAACAGTTTGGCTGTTACACCCCAGCCGTAGAAAGTCGTGGGAGGCTTTTTGGAGGAACAGTCATTTTTTATTTTGTCTTATTTATTTATCTTTTAAGTAGCTTTTAAATACTACTAAATTAATATAAATTTATTGTAAGAAAAAGGAAGTCAAATAACACAGAAACATAATATTTTAAAGTGAAAAATACCTTTTTCATTCATTCTAGATAAAACCCCTACTTAAAATGGAGCCATGTATCTATACTTAGATATACAGATACAGATAAGGCTTTCAATTTGAATAGAAATAGGATCATTTTACACACGGAGTTCTGCAACTTGCCATTTTCTCTTAGCAGGACAGCTTTCACTGACAGTATTTACCTCGCTGCGTACTCTTCCATGATGTGGAACTGCTGTTATTTACTTAGCTAATCCTCTACAGGGAAACATTTGGGCTGTTCCCAGGTTTTTTTTGCTATTAAAAGCAATTCTGTTATTAGCTTTTACGTACATAAGTCTTTGTATACTTATGTGAGTTTGTCTGTAGGATAAGTGTTTAGAAATGTAATTGCTAGCTTTGAACTTTTTAATTTTGGTAGATTGACCAGATTGTGCCTAAAACAGATAGTATAATGTACATTCCCTTCAACAGCCTATGGGACTCTAATTCCCTCCGTATTCTGTGCTTGTGAATTAGCAGTCTTTGCCAATGTTGCCTCTTTGATAATACAAAAAGATTTGTGTGTGTGTTAGTTTTTATTTGTTACATTTCCATAGGATTTAGCATCTTTTTCTCTATTGATCATTTCTATTTTTTCTTCTTTTACCTCATACCCTTGATTATTTCTTAATGATATTTTTAGAACTCTTTTTAGCATTTTATCCATCATATGCATTCAATTTTTTTTCACATTTTGCTTTTGCACTTTATTTTACTTGTGATATTTCATTTTTTATTTTGTCCTGCTGAGATTTTTAACTTTTATGTATTCAAATTTGTTAATTTTGTTTTTTAATGCTTAGAAAAATTTTACCACCCTATGGTTATAAAAGCATTCACATATGGTTGTTTTTCTTATACTTTAATATCTTCATTATATTTTCTAAGGTGTGAGGACCATGTGGAATGTATTTTGGTATAAGGAGTAGGACTGATTAAGAAGACTGCGGTGGTAGTACTATTGAACAAGGGTTGCCTGTTTGTGTAAATAAAATTTTATTGGGCTCTGGCCGGTTTGGTTCAGCGGTTAGAGTGTTGACCTGCGGTCCAGAGAGTCCTGGGTTCGGTTCCCGCTAAGGGCACGTACCTCGGTTGCAGTTTGTCCCCGGCCCTGGTTGGTCGTGCGAGTGGCAGCCACTCGATGTGTCCCTTTCACGTCGATGTTTCTCTCTCTCTCTCTGTACCTCTCCCTCCCTCCCATTCTACCTGAACAAAAAAAAAAAAACTTTTTGGAACACAGCCATGCCCATTTGTTCTATACTGATATCAGGCTACATTGGCTGAATTGAGTAATTA